GTTTATCTGTTTGCAATATGACACAGAACGCGATGAGTGGAAATTTCCTGTCAGAAAAGTGTCAGAACTTGTAAGATGTTAACACCATCATAAAAAAAAAGAAGCACAACTTCCTCCTTAGAAAGGTTCAGATTATTATCATTGTTTATCTTTCAAGTTAATGTGAAATGGCTATGACAAGTGCAAGCAGTAAATTCTGAACTGCCAACGGAGCAGTACGGTTGCTCTGAAGGTCTTGGAACAACATTTTGGGGCCAGTTGCACTGTTTCCTTCAGATCTTCTGTGTCTTAAAACAGGCAAACTGGGGCTCTCTAGCCTGTTTTAGTCATAACAAACCTTAAGGGGTTTTTGCCTCCTTAGTCCCTTGCTTCAACTTAAAAGTCAGTGTTCACTGTCAGATGAGGTGATGAACTTGACTCCCTTCCTTTTGACTCTAACTTGCTTAACTTCATGAAAAGCTGACATGTGACTGGCCTTTGTCCAGTAAGCAGTAGTTGTCACGCTCTATTTAAAAGCCCGCTTTTCCTTTTACGTGCCCACTGAAGTTGTGTGCCTGATTAGTACGTGCTTCAGCTATTGAAGTGGCTTTTCTCGTCAAGTGAGAGTGAGGTGCCTTGAAGGGAGTGAAGAGGGCTAAAATGGGGTCAAGCCAGACAGTGACTTCCTGTTAATATGGCACTTCTGTTTGTGTGGTACTCCACAGGCTGGGGAAAGCCAGGAACATTTCCATGTTAGTTGCAGTTAGACATGTTCTTGACAAATCCAAGTTGGGGGTTGGACTAGATGACCTTTAAAGACCCCTTCCATTCAATGGTTCTAAATGCTGCTTTCCTTGAATAGGTTTTCTTAAAATTCCCTTTCAGTCAAACTGAAGCCAAACCAAACACTCGCAGTCCCCACTGCCTCAGGAGGCCAACAGGAGCTGTAGCTGCAGCCATCTACAGGGGCAGGCTATATACAAACACAGTTTTTGCTGATTCTTTTAATGAAATTAATTTAGTTGGCAAAAAGTGTGCTTTACCTAAGTCGTAGTCCTTGGTGATTTCAAAGAGAGCGCCACCTTCTGCTTTTGAACTGGGGAGCGTGAAGCAGCATCAGGACTTGGTAGGGTTAGAAAATAAAGTTTTTTAAAGACACGTGTTATCAGTCAGAGAAAGTCTGCAGGAGGGCAACAAGAGGGGTCAGAGATCTACAACACATGACCTGTCCAATTAAAAAATAAAAGTTTAAAAAGAGTTGGATGGCTTCTTAGCCTCAGGTAAATGAAGGCTATTGCAGAGAGTAAGGAGTAGTCTGTCCTGCACAGGCAAGATATAAGGAACAAGAACAGGCTTCAGCTGCTCTAGGAAAGATCCAAGCTAGCACAAGGAACACCATGCTGCTGGTAAGGCTAAGGAAGTACTGACATAGATTGTGTGGGGAGTTTGCCGAGTCCCTGCCATGGGACGTTGTTAGGTGGTTAGATAAACATGGGCTGGGGACACACCTTCAGTGGGGTCAATGTGGACTTGGTTAATCACTTAGTCCGTCTCTGTTTCTGTAATGTGGTTGCTGGTGAGCTGGCCCAGCTTTTCCTGGGTACTGAAGCTGCACTTCAGGGGCTTCCTGTTATGGCTGGGGTCCAGACAAGTCCAGATGTCCCAGCAGCAAGGATTTCTGGGAATGCCTTGGTTGAAAGGAATTATTTTCCCAGAAAAAGTGTTGGAGGTTATATTTCAGTGTTCTTGACAATGTCTAAAAATACAAATTTATTTGTAATCTTAAAAGTAAAATTGTAAGTAACTTTTTTTTTTTTCCTTAATCCACAGAATTCCGAGGCAGATGAGGGAGAGTTTGTCATTGTATAATACTTGTAGTACAAAGCCTACAGTACAAAATAAAACCAGAAAAATGCACATAAGTAGAAAAATGTCACCATGCTGCCCCAGAGCAATACATGTTTGTATCATTTGGAAAGCTGTTCTGAGACAATGCTGTCTGTTACATGTACTTTATCAGATAACCTGGAGTTGTATTTGGTATTTATTTAAATATTATGAACATCTGTTTCTGGTTATCAAAGAAAAACCCTAGGTCAACTACAGGCTGTGACATATGTGAGTCATATAAAGATGTTGCGAACAGCTGCTTGGCTTCAAATAAGAGAGCCGCATCTGCCTTACCTGCCCACAAAGGGCTCAGGCCACACCCCAGATACAGTTTATTCATCAAAATAAAAGTTAAGGGCCACCTCAAATACAACAGTTTCTTTACACATTTTAGCTTACAGTTGCAGAATACCTTGCCTCAAGGTTTACTAAAAATCATGGTGTTTTTTTCCTTCCTCTAATTGAGCTTACTTTTGAATTTTATATGCAGCTGGGTGTGGATTAGCACTTATTTTCATTTTTTTTTGGTCTGTTTAATCAGAATAACCTTATTGCTCTTTGTGGGACAGAACAGAGGTTTAAGCAGCTTCTTATTAACCAGCATCAAGACTGACTGAGACACTCATGTATGTACTTTCAGTTTTTGTCACAGCCGTTAGGAGATTTTTTTTGTCTTAGCACTTACATGAAAATAGGAAGTGCTACTATCCCCATGGTACAGATGAGTCAGTAGCACAGAGGAACTTGAAACAATAGCATGAACTCTGCATTTTTAATCATATTTCTTTCAGTGTTAAAAGATAGCTGTATACAGTCAGATGAATCGATTAAAATATTTTAATGTTAGCATTATTACCCATCTATTATACAAGGATTCCTTTGTGTACTTTAATACCTGTAAATATATTTAATTGAATATGCTACTGACAACTGCAGATAAGAAAATGTTTTTAAATATCTGAGAAGATACTAAGATTCAATCCCTTTTGCCCATCTCAAAATATTATTGAAAAATAAATTCCTTACACATTTTGGAAATTTCAGCTCTGTTAAATAAATGATTGATGATCTGAATCTGATTCAGGTCTAGTTGAAACACTTTGGAAGGCTTCTATGAGCATATGTAAGCACACAGATAAATAAATAAGCTTTGACTGTAAGTAACCACATTAGTAATGGAAGCCAAGATGCTTTTATTTTTTTTTTTACACTGTTTGCATAACTTCACTGCCTTCCTCTTATGTTTTAAAATAATACACAAGATACTCTATTCATGGACAAATTTTGCTACTTGTTTGTTAAGAGAAACAGTATTAGGTCCATTCATTCTAGATATCAGGGACGGATGCTTTAAATTACTAAAGCATATCTTCTGGTGATCGCATGTGACTTTTTTTAGTCAGATCCCTAGAGTTCTGTGCATTTCGCATATTTTCTTTTGCTTTTTGAGACTCATTTGCGGTCACCCCTTCTCACGTCAGAGTGTGTGTGAAGTAAGTCTCTGGATAGCTTGGCTGATGTTACTGCTAACTTTTGATGTGTTCGTCTTGCCCTTTACAGTCACAGCTTTGGTAGGCCTGTTCTTAGGTAATGAAGAACTTCCATCATTTTTAATACTGCTAGATTGGACAGTTCCTTCTTTCTTGCTCTTTTTCATTTTGTAGCGATTTATATGTCTGTTGCAGAGTACCCACAAAATGAAGCTTATCAAATCCATGGAGATTTTAATTCCATTCAGCTTACAGGCTCAAGTGGAGTCTTCATCTTCCTTTTACAGAAATACCTTGCCTGACCTTACCAAAAAAGCTTTAGACATTCAGGATTTTAACATTGGCTGTCTGGTGCCGTTATTCTGAGTCCCTCATATGCCTCAGCACAAGCTGTCTTTGCTCTGATGCTGTTTCATTCATACACGACAGCTGTAACAGACAGCCCAAGACATTCTGTCCTTTTTTATATTTTTTTAATTTATTTTTGTCCTAGTTTAAGAAATGAGAGGAAACACTTGAAGAAAATATTTTTGTTGCATTTCACTTCTCCTGTGGCTTTTAAGGTCAGTTCCAGGGCGTGTATTTTGTGTCACTGATTGCAAGGTTCAGACATATTCTTCCCTCTTGAGGTAGTAACACAAGAACTGGCTGGTGAGAATGGTAATGCTGTAGCTCATCCCTTTTCACTTGTGGGGGATTATTTCCCCTTTATGTCTCTGAGCGGGTGTTGCAACTGCTGAGTGGCATCTCTAGTTATCTTTTCCTGTTTTGATCTGCTCTAAAGAAGTTCTGCTCTAAAAAGTTATTACGTAAAAATTGCATTCTTACTGAACAAAAATGTCTATTTTCTTTTAAATTCCACCTTACCTGCTGACAGCAGTGGAAAATATATTTTTGGTTTTATTCTTGTCTTGTTAGCATTGCAGAGGCAAAAGTTTCTATTTGGATTAACACATAGTGAACACTCTGCCCCAGCTCAGCACTCTCCATCTGTTCCTTAAGCATATTGTACTTAAGTATGTGCTTAAGTTGAGATGTGATCGTTATGCCTCTTCACAAATGTACATGATTTGCAGAGCTGGGATGGACACAAGCTTGTAAGGCTTTGCTTGTTTGCAATCCTGAGCTACTAGTGGCTCCTGCAGCTCTGGCCTGGAGTCCTTTCCAGCTTTTTATACCAAGGATAAGTGTGTACTGAAAGTTGCTTGCCACTGCCACTGCAGATATCAGTCATTACATAGCTGCAGTCATTCAAAGTCATTTTTTGAATTTATGTGTAGAAAGTGTGTCAGTTTTTAGATCCCAGCCTCCACCCTTGTAAGTAGGTACAGTTTCAGTGACTTAATTTCTTCAGCTGACATTTAAGCAGGCATTCTTCACCTGTTACTTGCTGTGAACTGGGAGTATACAGCTGTTGAATTACCATAGTTCACTTGATCCGTGTTAACTTGTGAAAGCCTCATATCTTGGTCATGTGTGTCTGAACCCAGCTGATAGTTTAAACAATTAATTGAAGAGCAGCAAGGTAAAGGATTGGACTACCTGATTTAAAGCAGTAATGGAGTTCATAAGTGTTTCTATGAGTTCAACTAACAGCTTGACTAGATCCTGAGCTGCAGTAGTTTAATTTGCAAAGCATATTTTGAGGTGATTTTATTTAAATTGGTACAAAAGACTGCATGTGTCTTCTTACTTCAAATTAATTAGGATAACTTTGGCTGCACTTCAGTAATTAGGAGCAAGTTTACGCTAGACTGAGTTTGTTATTTTTATGGTGAAATAAGAATCTGTAAGAAAACATGGCCATTCCTCAACCAAGATGATGTGTGAGAGATGAGATTGTAGTGAAGCATTTATTTCCTCAATCGTAAATACCTTATGTATTTAATTATGTTTCTATGAAAACAAACTGCTCTGGTCCTTTTTCAAATATGTGTTTATTCCAAGGTTTTTTAAAATACCCAAAAATAGTATGCCTTCTGATTTCCAAAGTCATCTTCCCTTGGTCTCTCAGTGCCTTTGTTTGTAGGAAGTCGTTAAGCTCTATCACTGTAGTGTTTATTTACGTCATACTTTGTAACCAAGATTTGAACTCTGTCCTGACAGCTTTGCTCTAACTCCATCCTAGAGCATGGGAAATGACCTTAGTGTGTCTCATACTATCTACCCTCTGCTTTATGTTGTATGCTCTGTACAGTCTGTGTTACTATTAGATAAACTCTGTGTGAGCAGTGAGTGTTGGGTTTCAGCTGTGATTTTTCTGTCAATGCAGAAAGAACATTCTTCGATTCTTGGATGCTGAAAGAGATGTCTCAGTGGTCAAAAGCAGTTTCAAGCCAGGAGATATAATCCATTACGTACTGGACAGACGTCGCACCCTAAACATTTCTCAGGATTTGCACAGGCTTCTCCCTGAAGTTTCCCCAATGAAGAATCGCCGATTTAAAACCTGTGCAGTTGTTGGGAATTCTGGCATTCTTCTGGGCAGTGGATGTGGAAAAGAGATTGACAGTCATGACTTTGTAATAAGGTGAGTTTTCATCTGCTATTGAAGGTACAGCCCGATGTGTTTCTTGGAGAAAAGCAGAGAGAAATGTTTTAATCTGAGATACAGATTTCAGGCACTATCAGAAACTAATCTAAAACAGTATACTTCACTGTGTGAAGTCATGTTAAATACATGACCATATTGTTGACAAGAAGATTATTTTTACAATGAAAATAAAACAAAGGCCAAAGGAGTTTTGTGCTACCTATTTTTGCTGTTTGGTTTTTTTAAATGTATTTTTATATATTTATTTATATGTAATTTTTGTATATGTAATACATATATAAATATATATAAATCTATATATTCAGACAAAGTAAATATTCTTATGGAGGCCTTGGTAAAATAAATGCAAATGTTTTCTCTTTCAAAAATATTTTTCTTAGCTCTTGGCCAATAGAGATGACCTGTTGTAAATTACTACATTACTTCGGTGCAGCATGGGGTAAGGTTTCAGTGTGATGTATTGATGTTGAACCAAATGACTGCCATTAAGGTAACTGGAAGTCACACATCTAAATCCCTTCACTTTGCTCTAAAAATGTACTCCAGCAGTTCAGGCAAAAATGTTGATATGCTTCACTTTTTATTAATTTTTCAAATATGCCCAGTAGAATACCTTTGGACTTCACATATCAATAGAAAATAAAGAGGAATAGCTGGCCTCATTTGACAGCCTGGCATTATATGGATATAGAGAAGGTTGGGCAAGAGGTAGGTCCTTTTGTTTTTGAAGCAGAAGTTTCAATTGGTTTGGTTTGAGAACGGTGAAGGGGCAGAAAACAGAAAGGTAGTGACAGAAAACAATATAGAAATAGTCATTGCGAGTTATTTTCTTCTTGTTTTCTCACCTTGAAGAAAGATGGAGGCAAAAATATCAAAAGGCTGTGGAAAAAAAAAATTAATTTTTCATTACATAAATCAAAACAGGGTATACACATGAAAGTTGTATTTTATTTGAGAGGTCTACTAAAAAGTAGCAACTGAAACAGTAACACAACACTTTTCATTTTCCTTATTTGCTTTACTTGTGCTACTAATCTTTCAAATCGGCATCCTTACTGTAGAAGGAATCAAAAAAATAATTACCACATTTTAAAACCACATTTAGCCTATGCTGGCAGAAAAATTTAGGTGCTAGATTTTCTAGACGAAAACTTTCTTTCAGAAGGCAAGGTACATACTTTTACTTAAATCATGTGCTGAATTTCTTTGAAGTCATCTCCATGCTCTTTCCCATGTTTTAACTAGCCATGAAACTAGGTGATGATATCTGATAGATTTAACTAATTCAAGCTATGTGGAGTGAAGATAATATTCATAAAGATTTGTGTATGAATAAAAGAAGAATGAAGCTGAATAGGAACATCAAGAAGTTGCTAATCAGTTGTTTAGACTGGAGAAACATCGCTCGCATGGTGTATGCCTAGCAAAGCGATCAGTATAACAACTAGTTTGTCTGACGATACTGTGGATAATACTCTTTATAAGGTTCTGGGAATAGAATACTTGACCCTGTAGCCTATGGAGAGTTTTAATATAGTGAAATTTTTTGATTTACAAACCAAAGTTAAAATATTCTAGAAGTTCACAGATTATCTCATAGCTTAAATGATACGATATATTTATTTATGTATGTCGGGATGGGTGCGTAGGTACATAACATCTGTTTCAAGTAAATAGCAATTAATTCATTTGTATTTTGAGTTAAAAAGCCAAAACATTCTTCAGAGTTATAGTTGCCTACATTCCTGTTCTTCCATTTAAAACAAAGTTGTATGCAACACGATATGTAGTCATGTGATGTAATGGTACTGACATACTTGGTAATCACTTACCTCTATTGCTATTAGGATTCTGGTATTAAAACGTAATATGACACTCTGTTACTCTCTTTGCTTTCAGATAATTTCTCTGGGAGTAAAATGTACTCATTCCACTCACCAACTGATGGTGTTCTGAAAAACAGTTACTGTATGTACTGTATACAGCTAGGTGTATAGACTGGTGAACGACATTTTTATGGAATCTGCTGATGTTGAGTGCATTATGCCTGTGTGGTGTGGCAAGCATGTCATACTGTTTCGGTTAAATGTGTTATCCAGTTTATTTTGATAGAACTTTGTGTTCTTTTTGAGATCTGAAACAAAAGTATGTGCTTTTGAGAGAGTTTTTCTTAGAGCAGTGGTTCTAATGTTAGATCTAACACCAACAATACCATTTATTTAATGATAAGACTAATAGTGAAGATCTGTGAAAGTGAAGAGGACCAACAGACATTCATCAGTATTTGCATTACAGTGCAATAAACTCAATATCATAGTACCATAGAATCATAGAATACCAGATTGGAAGGGACCTCAAGGATCATCTAATCCAGCCGTATGTTAGTACTGATGGGTAAAGACATAAATGTACGCTTTATTAAGGGTAAATAAGAATGTAAGTACCTAGCACTTTAAGTAATTTAAGTTTGATAGTGTCTGTCAATGTCTTTGAAAGTCATCCAAAGTTGCTAAAAATTGTCCATCTTCCTCTGAGATGTTGCAGCACATTCAGTGCCTTCTATGTAACAATGTCTCTCAAAGAACATTGATCCAAGTCACCAGTAATTAGCATACTTCTATTATGAAAAACGATAAAGAATTGTCATTAAACAATCCTTCTCATGGCATCAGAAATCAAGGATCTAGGGACATAGCTTCTGCTAGGCTAAAATGGATTAGTTCCACAAGTTTAATGAAGTCGTACCTATTTTGGCAGTAGAAAATGTGACCCATCTAGATACAATGGGAAGCAAGGAGACTCTTTGGTATTAAAAAAAACCCTGTGCTGACTGTAAACTATCTCCTGTTTCCCATATGACTTTCCTTTTTACATCTTACGTTTTTATGCCTTGTTAAGTGAATATTGATTGTTGCACCTGTACCACTTTTTGTTGTGGTGATCTAAAGCATGCTGCATTTTGATACTATACCCAGAAAGAGTCTGAAGCATTCCAAAATCTATGATTCCATAAAATAAATTAGAATGAAAATATAAGATAATCAACCAGATGACTTTTAAAATGTATAAATGGCACAGTGCTGTTGCAGGAGCCATTTTTTGCATGGTGCAGTTTTCAGCTGTTTCTCTAGGTGTTGGGTCAGATATATAGTGCTCACTCCCTGTGAGATTTAAATGCAATGCATTTTATTTTCCACCATTGTCTACACTTTCTGATGCTGAAATTCTTATGCCAGGGCTGTGTTAGCTGTTACATCTTACAGAACAGTTGAACATGTTATATTAAGTGGCATATTTTGAAATGCAGTAGTTACACAGGACTTCCTGAAAAATAGAGCTGTATTTTGGGTAAATGTGAAAAAGCAACACTAAACATTGCCAAGTAATAAATTTCAGATTGATGGAATTACTTCTGGCAGCCTACAATTGCCAAAAAGAATTCAGTTCAGCTTTGGGTTCAGAATTTGAACTATGCCAAAGATCAGAAGAATTTTTTTTTTTTTTTTCAATTAATGGAATTCAGCATTTGTGATGGGAACTATTCAAAATCAGAGGCCAAGTAAGAATTTTAGTGTTACTTGATTAAAAAACAAGCAAGGAAAACCTTCTAAACCTTGTCAATAATCTTGTAGGTTTTCTTATGGTGACAGTACTGGGAAAGTCCCTTTCATTTCAGTGGAGAACAGGCATGTTGAGGGAAGCTGTTTGACTAGCTTAGGTCTGCTCTAACAAAAAACAGTCATAAGAGGATTGCTTCTTTCTTTGGATTGAAGTGCCCAGTTTATATGTTAGAACTCTTCTTTGGTTGGAGTGTTTTTCTGCTAACTCTGTCAGCACCTAGGAATCAAGCTGAATATTTTTGCCTTCATTGGTGATAAAATTTTGTTGGGTAAATGCAGCTCTTATTTTTCCAGTGTCCTTTGACTTTCATTTTTTAACTTGGCAATTCTTGTGGTTGGTGAAGTTGACATGGAAAAATCTTGTAGTCCTTTAATTTATTTCTTGGTTTATCCTATTCAAAGAGGAGGATAATCTGTTTGACTTCCTGACATCTTGGTTTTGTGGGCAAGCAATTGTGATATGAGCAAAGACAGCACATCTGTTCAAGAAGAAGAAAAGGACAGACCTTCTAACCATACCATGGAGGTGTGTTTGCTCATTTCAGGAGAACAATTTAGATTTCTCAGCTAATATTAATATGTAAGCAGAGAGTGGTAGTAGCTTCTTTCTTCTGTGTTGTTCCTTCAGCTGATAGGAAAAAACCAATCATAAATTTGTCAAAATAAAAAGATTTAGGCTATTAATGTACTTATATTCTAGAACTTTTTTTTATAAGTCTTATCAGCTTTTATGTCCAAATATTTGTTTAATACACTTTGCCTGGAGCATAACCATTGTACCAGTAGAGCTGGATGCTCAGACCCAGCAGATCTGTTAGAAGTGAAGTTGCCAGTTTAACAGATTAATTTTAAAATGTGATTCTTCCCATAAAAATAACATTTGAATACATCATGACTAGCTCATTAGACCTTTTTCAGCTCTCAAATGTGGCAGCTCTGTTTTTGCCTTCTGTCTCTTCCTACAAATTGTTACACTGCATTGAAACGTTAATGAAAGCAGAAGAAAGCCAGAAAGCCATCATCTTCAGATGGTCTTTCTCAATGATTTGGGTGCCTGAGAAAGGGGGAGCACCAGTGTGGCTGTTCGCTGCTTCCCATCAAGTTAGACACAGGTGGCCTCCACAGCAGGAGAACCTTGGAGGAGGAGTGGCTTCTTGTGGCCACATTTTCCCCTTTTGGCTTCACCTCATGGCTTCTTCAGCTGCTGGAAGAGTCCTTTCATGACTGCTTCTCCAGACAGGCTGTGATGGGGCAAGAGCTTATACAGAGATGTCTTCTTATGAAGCTGAATCTCTTACTCAGTCAGTACATAACACCTTGTGCTACCTACAGTGATTGTCCACAGTACTGGATACC